TATCGAATGTATGACACCATAAACAAAATATATCGATTTGAGAGCCCCGGGCTCCATTTCACACAAATAAAAAAAATTCCAAAAGAATTCGTCGACGAGGTGGAATTTGATCAAATTTGGGTTATGTTTTTTTTCTGAGAAGAACGGGGCCCTGTTTTTTTTATCCTGGCGGGTTGTTTTACAAAAATAGTGTTGCAAAGATGAAGACCTACAGCTTTACTGATAGTGTTCTGGCTTGTACAAGAACCATTATACAGGACGCTTATGCAGGTACTCTTAGATACTCAAATGACTATTTCTTTATTCATTAATGTAGACGTCTAAAGGATGGAAGAACATTTGCTGATGATTATCATAGATACAGTGTCGAGTGGACTGAAGATTATATCAAGTAAGTCGAAACCGAACAGTCATTGGGACAATCTGAGAACAATGAGAGTAATGAAAAAGATATTGTTAAAAAAAAATTGTTTCACCATTTGCCTAACATTGGACTCATTGTAGTGTGTAATGATAGCGATATTTTTCTTTATCCTTTTCGATTTGCCCCATCGAAGGGTCTTTAACGTAAACAGTCGTAAACTGGACCAATTTAGATTAAACATGCTGTGAATATTTTATTATAGATGCTTCGTCGACGATGAAATGACTTTAAATGTTGAGCCTGATGAGGGTGGCTTTTGGAAATTCGGAGAATTTGAGAAAAACAACATGGTTAATCCCTGGAGATACGCGTCTAAAATGGCACCATTTGACCAAGAGGTACAGTCATATTGTTTTTGTCCGACCGATTACATGTATTTAGGTCTTTATCCAGTGACATGTCAATAGGAGTTCAGCGCTGACATCCGCCAACCCGCAGAAAAATAGTTCATATCCCAAGAATTTTTAAAAGATTGTACCAGACAAAATTCTATCTTTAGAAGCACAGGCTGCCACAGCGCTTGTTGCCCCTATAGTAATGTTGTTCTGCTATTTAGTCAGTCTGCCTCTTGTTTGTACCAAGTTTCAGGATGCTGACGCCGCCTCTGACACAGTTATCTTCTGGCCGTGTATTCTTAAAACGATCTCAGCACTAGGATGTCTTAGTGTCTTAACTTCTAACACTGTTTCTGGAACATCCTAAGACTAAGATAGTTTTGAGAATACGTGGCCAGCTTTTTGAAAACGGAGGCACCATTATATTAGTAATACATTTTCATGCATGTTTCTAGTTCTACATCATCCTGAATCTAGCTGTTGGTGGTATGAACTATTTTGATGATTCTAATATTGGACCTCGACCAAAACCCTGGACCGGAGCTGATAAGACGGCTTTCTGGAGAGCTAAAGAAGAATGGTATCCTACCTGGAATCCCTTTGAAAATGACGGGGAAGATGCTGCATTGAAGATTAACTATGTAAAAGTTTGGAAGTTGAAACCATAATTTGATTTGAATAAATAACCCATCCTTTGATGAAATCCATCAAACGAAACGATTGATCTTTTATAATTTTTAATATGTTGAACAATTTACAGTATCATTTTAATATATAATTTTAAAAAACGAGTNTCTCATCCAGGCTATACTCACCCATCAGAAATCTTAGAGTAATCTATACAGGA